ATGCGCCGGGCGCGCCCCGTCGACGCGCCGCCGCCCCTCGCCCGCGCCCGCCACGTGATGGCCCTCTGCGAGGCGTGCGGCGCCGGGGACCGCGACGAGGAGCTGCTGCTCTGCGACATCTGCGACCGCGGCCGCCACACCTTCTGCCTCCGCCCCATCCTCCCCGCCGTCCCGCTCGGCTCCTGGCTCTGCCCCGACTGCGCCCCGACCTCCATCATCCGTGCGTCCCTCCCCCGCCGCGCGAACCTGGCGACTCGATCTCGCCATTGCCGCTCCCCTCCCCCTCTTGTGTCCGCGCTCGCTCGCTCGCCTGCCGTGAATTCCATCTCATCTCGTCCTCTTGTTGGTTGAATTTCTGTCAGGTTTCCCGTTGAAGCAGAGCAAGATCGTCGATTTCTTCAGGATCGAGAAGGGCGCGGAGGGCGGCGCCGTCCGGCCGGCAAAGTGCGGGCTTTCTCAGGGTAATTTTTTCTTATCTCTGAAATTTTGAATCGCATGGATTTTGTTCATTGTGTGGCTTAAGCTAGGGAGTCTGCGATGAGGAATCGTCGCTCAATTGTTACACATACTGCATTGCCATCTGCTGATATGCAAATAATTCATAAGGTGTAAATAGTTCATCTGTAATACTTGACTGATTATGAGTATGATGCACATCTGGTAGGAGAAAAAGTTGTACCCTATGTGGGTATTGTGTGTCGATTCGTTGATTGTTTTCTTTTGCTAGGCTGACCGGTCGACACAGTAGTATCCTGCATATATGTCACAGTGGACTAGAATTTCTAGGTAATGAACATTGAAAAATGCAGTGAGCTATCACCGCAGGAAATGCGCGGGAAAGCTACGTCCGCCAGCATTGCGTGGCCGAACCAACACTGCTGGAAATACGCGGGAAAGCATCGTTAAAAAACTTTAATTTGATCTTAATAGCACACTATTAGTAGGATTGTGTTGTTGAAGTAGGTTGGTCAAGTATGTACGGATTAATTGACTTACATTGATTTGTGCACATGCATATCAGGATGATTCGCAGAGATACGTCACATGTATTTCCTGTTTGAGATCTGCCTTGCACTTATTGAGCCATAAAACCCTGCCACCTTTTTAGTTTCTTTAAAATAGGATTGATTACGTGTAGGATGCACTTCTAGTGGGAGAAAAAGTTATATCTTGTAGGGGTTGTTGTATGTTGATTTATGAACTGTTCTGTTTTGCGTGGCTGGCCGGTCAATACAGTAGTATCCTGCATATATCTCCAGTGAATTCTAGTTTCTAGGTAATGAACAAACACAGCGAGCTATCACCACTGCAAATGTGTGGGAAAGCTATTGCCTTCAGAATTACGCGGGAAACTATCGCTGCTGGAAATGCGCGGGAAATCATCGTTCAAAAAACATTAATTTGATCTTAATAGCACAGTTTTATTTTAGTAATAGGGATGTGCTATTGAAATAGACCGGTCAAGTTTGTACGGATTAAATGACTTCCATTTATTCGTGGGGATATGTGACATGCATATCATGTTGAAGATCTGCCTGCTTTCATTGAGCCATAAAAAAGCCACCACCTTTTGTAGTTTATATAAAATATGACTGAATATGTGTAGGATGCACATCTGGTGGGAGAAAAGGGGGTGTTGTATGTTGATTCGTGAATCCAATAGTATCCTGCATATATCTCCAATTAACTGAAATTTCTAGTTTGTTGGGACATTCGACTGCATATATCTCCAATCCAATAGTATCCTGCATATAGCTCACTGCATTTATTCATTATTTAATACTTGTATACAGATGCTAAGAGGCGAAAGAGGCGATCTCTTGTTATGCACAAGAAGAAGAGGAGGCTACTGCCATTTGTGCCCACTGAAGATAGAGTTCGAAGGCTTGAACAGATGGCTTCTGCAGCCACTGCATTGACATCTTCGAAAATGGAGTTCAGCAATGAGCTGACTTATGTGCCGAGTATGGCCCCTATGTCTGCCAATCAAGCAAAACTGGAGGAAGGTGGTATGCAGGTTAGCAAATTTTTACTTTAAACAGTATAATGCATTTCTTGATCTCTTGGTGCCTAAAGATACACTTGTTGACTTTCAAGGTTCTTACAAAAGAGGACAAAGAAACCATCGAACTCTGCAGAAACATGTTGAAAAGAGGAGAATGCCCTCCACTTCTGGTGGTTTTTGATTCCCATGAGGGGTATGTTTTTGGAATTATTCTTCTAACGTTTCTTCATTTTTCAGTACGGAGTAGTTAAACTAACGCATATTTGTTTTCAGTTTCACTGTGCAGGCTGATGCATATATTAAGGATCTCACATTCTTAACTGAATACACTGGCGATGTTGATTATTTAAAGAACAGGGAAAATGATGGCTGTGATAGTATAATGACCCTTCTATCACCAGCGGATCCTTCCCAGAAGCTTGTCATCTGCCCTGACAAACGTGGAAACATAGCCCGCTTTATTAATGGCATTAACAACCACACTCCGTAAGTAGTCGCTGCCTATCCTTATGAATGTACATGTGTTAAGCATTACTTACGCCACTCTAATATTGTCCAATTCCTGCAGTGATGGAAAAAAAAAGCAGAACGTCAAGTGTGTGAGGTACGACATCGACGGCGAGTGCCATGTCTTGCTGGTCGCCTGCCGTGATATAGCTCGTGGTGAGAAGCTGTACTACGACTACAACGGGCATGAGTATGCGTACCCAACGCATCATTTCGTCTAACTCCCCCAATAGTTCTGACCTGCCCATCATCAAGGAGTCTGGGCGATTAATGGTGGCACTTTCAGCATTGCCGCTGAAAATCCAGTAACTTATATACAGTTCAATTGCCAGAAGAGGTCCCCGATGGCGAACAATATACATGCTGATGTTGTTAGTATCTAGTAGTGAAAACAGTCTTCATTCAGCTGTGGAGAGAGACAAGTGGGATCTTCGTTTTCTTTTTCTCCTGACCTCCCAAGATGCTGTCATCTTATTCATATTCATTATTGTTGCGGAGTTCCTGCTCGACTTGAGTCTTTTTCGGGGATTCATCCCCCTTTCTATAGGAGTAAATATCTATCTGCCCCTGTCTCTCTCTGTAGAATGGTTAAGTAGCTGTTGTGTCCCAATTAGTGGTACATTTGAAACTGGAAGAGAAATGTTTCACCCCATTTGTTGGGGAATTGTTCTCTATGTTCAGTTATTTCGGATGGTGAAATATGCTTTCCCTATTGGTGCTGTGATTTTCTTTTACTTTGTTATTATTGCCCTATCGCTGCTGGGTATTTTATTTATTTGTTCTTTTGACACTTTCCAACTTTTAGAAGCCGTGCCAAGCTACCAGCAGTGATCTTGAACTTCCTTGCCTTTGTAACCTCTTGAAGTTGATCCCCAACTAACTTCAGAACTATATGAATTCTTAAAATGAAATCCAGTGCTGCTGATTTCGCCAAGAAAAGTTTTTGCAGACTACTATGTATGTGTTTAGAACTATGCTATGAACCCATAACTTGTCAACTAAAATGTTACCAAATGTATAATTGATTTGACACCATAGAGATAAAATGTGTCATGCTATCAATTTAGTTTGACAACTATAAGTTACAAAGTTTTTTTTAAAACTATGCATGAGAAATATGTTGAAGGACTATGGATAAGAAATAAAGATAAAGTAGATTTAGACTAAGTACAACTTGTCGTATACTCCAGGTCTCCCCCCATGTTATACTCTATATACCCATTAAGAGTCAGACTAACAACATTGAAATCTTTTAGGGGTTGTTTGGATTGTGCCCGATCCAACCCCGCCAAACTATGGCAACACGCCACCCTGGAAGTATTAATCTCACAGAGCGGGCCGTGAGTGGGCCAGCCCAATTAGGTGTCAATGAATTCGGTCTGGGGAACCTTTTAGAACGTTTCGGTCCATTTTTTCATTTCTTTATTTTGTTGTTGTTTCCCTCACGGATTTTTTTGTTTTTTCTTTTGGTTTTCAACGGTTTTTTGGGGTTTTAATGGTTTTTACCTTTCTATCTTGGTTTTTATTGGTTCTTTCTTTTTTTATTTTTTTCTCTGTTTTCTTTATTTCTTTCTCAGTTTTCATCGGTTTTTTCTTTGGGTTTTCTTTTTTCTTTGCTATAACTTTAGTTTCCCTTTGCTTCTCACTGGTTTTCTTCGTTTCTTTCTTGGTTTTCACATTTTTTTTCATTTTCGCACCTTTTCTTTGTTTTCTATGGTTTTTGTTTGTTTCTTTCTTGAATTTTCTATTTTTTTGCACCATCTCCCCCCGGTTTTCTTGTTCCTTTTTCTGTTCGGTTTTCTTTCATTTGTTTCTTATGTTTCTTTCATTTTTAATTATTTCAGCACATATCTACATTTTTGTTACACAACGTACATCTTTCGTACACATCAAGAACATTTCATAATACATGTTAGACATTTTTCAATAAATGATTAATATATTTTTTCAAGTAAATCAAATACTTTGATGTATATGTTTTTCATATACATTGCACATTTTTGGTATACATATAAAACATTTTTAATATAGATTTAACATTATATATGTATATGATTTTTTTTCAGATATATGCTTTGATGTCTAATTTTTTTCGTACAGAACATACATATTTCTTAAACACCCGACACATTTTTTTATGCATGTTCAACATTTTTCACATACAGTTAAACATTTTTCAAATATATGTTTAACATTTTTGAAAACTTATACTTTTTGTTGTCTACTTTTTTCCATACACATTGTATATTTTTTTCTATACACCAGGAACATTTCTTATATACATGTTTAACACTTTTCAAATACATGATTAATAATTTTAAAAATTAATTTTTGGAGTTTGCTTTTCCCCTAAACATCGCTCTATTTTTATATACATCAGGAATGTTTTTAATATACAGTTTATACAACATTAACATATTTTCATATACATGTTTTGATATCTATTTTTCATACACATTTACAAAAAAATTATAATTAGAATTTTTTTGTACACGTTTAACATTTTTTCATGAACGATTAACATTTTTCAACTTCTGTATATGAAGTGATATTTATAATAGATGTAATCAGAAATTTTTGAAATACAAGCAAAATTAAAAAAATAAAGCAGAAAACCCAATGCAAGGATGTGAAACAAAACAGAAGAAATAAAAGTGCTGAAGGCCTGTCCGTGCTGGGCCGGCCCAATCGGATGGCTGCCTGAGTTAAGACATCCTATTGTCCCGCGTCAAGCGAGACATAGGAGCGCCCGCACCACATACTCTTTTTACCTCAAAATAAGTCCCACATACTTTTTTTTTCCAGTTGAAACCCGTCCCACATACACATGCGTGCCAAGCAAACAGATGCACGTGTACTCCCTTTATTTTTATTTAGTCCGCGTATTTGCTTTGCTCAAAGTCAAGCTTTGTAAAATTTGACAAAGTTTATTATAAACTTTGTCAAATTTTACAAAGCTTGACTTTGAGCAAAGCAAATACTATATTAGATTTATTATTGAAAGTACTTTCACATCACATTGATTTGTTATGATAAATGTTTAGATTATTTTCTATAAATTTGGTCAAACTTTATGAAGTTTGACTTTAGTCAACTCTAATACGTAGAGTAAATAAAAATAGAGGGAGTACCTACGTTGGCGATTTCCTATTCGTCGCATTTTGCGACAGAATGTCGATGCTACATACATCCTTCGCTGCAACATGGGACGGCCCAAACAACAAACAACAACAACAAGAAGAACAAAGCCTTTAGTCCCAAACAAGTTGGGGTAGACTAGAGGTGAAATCCATAAGATCTCGCGACCAACTCATGGTTCAGGCATAGGGATAGCAAGCTTCCACGCACTCCTGTCCATAACTAGTTCGCAACATGGGATGACCCACATTTTTTGTGTGTGTGAGCATCCCGGCTTTGGGAAGACTAGAAGGTTCTGACCGGTTTTGGGAACCTTCTAGAAGGTTCCTGAATCGGTTTCGCCTTCATGATTTTTTTTCTTTTTCATTTTATTTTTTCTCTTTTTTACTTTTCTTCTCTTTTTTAGTTGTTTTTTCTTCATCATTTTTTCGGATTCTTCTCTTTTTTATATTTAATTTCCTTTATTCTTTTTCTTGTTCCAAACAATTACAAATTTACAAAAATGGTTCATGTTTTAAAAAATTGTTTTATTTTTTTTAAAATCTGTTCGCAATTTAAAAATGGTTAGAAATCTCAAAATTGTTTGCAACTTTTTGAAGTATTTCCTAGTTACGCTGCTCCTTAGACTTTGGGCGCCTCATTTGTCACTACTAGCAGGCAGAAGGCACACCTAGAAATTTCAAACAATGTTTAGAAATTTTAAAATTGTATGCAACTTTTCAAGTATTTCCTAGTTACGCCGGTCCTTAGACTTCGGGCGCCCCATTTGTCACTACTAGCAGGCAGAAGACACACCTAGAAATTTCAAGATGGTTAGAAATTTCAAACAATGTTAAGAATTTTAATAAAAGAAATCTGTTTGCAATTTAAAAATGGTTAGAAATTTTGAACAATGTTTTTTGCTTTTAAAATTTGCTTGAATTTTCAAAAAAGGTTCATCATTTCAAAATTTGTTCTTAAATTCAAAAAATATTCAAAATTTCTAAAGATATTTACGTTTTAGAAAAATGTTCCAGAATTTTTAAAAATGGTTGTATTTATAAAATAAATGTTCGGAATTTCAAATGACATTCTTGTTTTCAAGGTTTGTTTACAAAACCAAAATGTTCACGTTTTCTTGATTTTTTTTAGAATTTCAAAATTATTTGCGTTTTTCAAAATTTGCTTATAATTTGAAAAAATAGATCGAAATCTATAAAATTATTTGCAACTTTTCAAGTACTTCCTAGTTACGCTGCTCCTTAGACTTCGGGCGCCTCGTTTGTCACTACTAGCCCGTGCATATTTGTGGTATTTTTTATTTGAAAGTAAGAGAAGGGGTCACAGTTGGTTGGGAAGATTTTTTTTTGACAGATTCCAGAAATTTTCATTACACATTGGCAAAACATGTAAACATAATTATGATCTGGAATCAATTATTTATTATTTGTCACTTACAACTTTCCAAGAACCTAATACTTCTCTGCGGGCCATGGTGCTGGAGGGCATTGCTGGAAAAAATGTCATATACACAAACTGAGGTCTGATGGCCTGCAAGTGCATATTGCTATTGTAGCACTTTCATGATAAATAGAGTGTCGAACCCACATGAAGCGAATAGGAAGGCACCACAAACCCCGCAGCTATGCTGTCACTTAACGAACTACGTACGCACATAGCCTACTTCAGTAAGTTGCTAGGAACACAAATAAAATGGATAGTGTTTACTAAATTACGAACAAGAAATAAAAGAAAGAAAAGTAAAGAGACTAAACTACGTGAAACGATGCTTGAGTAGTAAACGTTCCTGAGGGAATTGGAGTCATCACCACAAGTATGATGCTGACAATACATGATGAACATGACTCTCTAATTGTATCACTAAGCCACTTGTATATGATCTCGCGTGGGCGGAGCCATATAAAGTACTCATCCCCATCAAGGTTACTGTGTACCGTGCTTCCCCACTCCGGTTATCACAACGATGATTAAGGGGAGTGAACTCCCCGTGGTCACAGCCTTAAATTCTAGGGTTGTCTACTAATCCCTATTGCAATGATCAGGAGGAAGCGAGAATGTGTCCTGTCACCACCTACCCTCCACA